GATTCCTCTTTCGTAAGATCATTTCTTTATTCCGTATAGGTCAGAAATTTGTTGCTCGTAACGAAACAGTAATTATCGTGATTCCTTGTCCGTCAGATTCCGCTTTCGTCAGAAATAGTTTTTTTTATTAATACTTTCGTCAAATTCCGCATTTATCATAAATTGTCAGTTCTTTTTTTTGAGAGTCAGAATGGCGGGTGTATCTTAACGAATCCTGACAAAATTGTATCAAAATTCAGTTACCTTTTTTGTACTATTTAGTACCATGTTTAAAAAATTTGTAAGAAATGATCTGACGAAAGAGGAATCTTGACGGATGTGTACTAAATCCATATGACGAAAGCGAAATTTGACGAAAATGTCATTATTGGTTGTCCACATTCGTTATTCCTGACGAACATGACCTGAAATCATAAAAAAAAACTATTTCTGACGAAACTGGAATATGACGGTTGTGTACTAAATCGAAAAAACAGTGGCGCATACATTAGATATATAACCTTTCACACGGTTTGTCCTGCAAAAAAACGCACATCGAATACTGCAAAACAACGTGCAGTGCAATGCCGTGTGAACGGGGGGATAGATAACCACAAATTACACCCAAACTCACGAGAGAAATAAATGTAGGCCATATACGTACTTCCACTGGCCTGGGAATCGAACCCAGGACCGCTACATGGCAGTCCAGCATGGTAACCGTTCGGCCACTGAGCCAGTTAAATATAATGACAGTGAGCTATAGCCAATAACTGTCGAAGAACTGATAACCGATGAGGGAAAAGAGTTCTTGATTGGAGACCATGACTCTGCAAACATAGCGTAGAACGCCCTCTGACCAAAGGGAGTGACGATCTGAGAAAGGCTGCTGGACCGGGCAAAATGGCGCACATTGGGAGAGGCCTACGTCCAACAGTGGACTGCGAAAGGCTGATGATTATGATAATAATACGTAAGTGTATATACCTACTTAAGACCATGTTTTACCAGTTTTCTTCGCGATTCAATTAGATAAGGACTAATAAAATTTCTATTGTGTGTATAATAAAACAATTGACGCATTACATAACTGAAGCCAATGACGAAATATAAAACTCAAGATCATCCTTGTATGTACATACATGAACAGTCATTTACTAAAACAAAGTAGACATATTCATAGTGGTTACATATAGAAAATACATAAGTTAGTTGTATCATTTATTAGTTAGGCAACCAATGCCCATACAATCTCACAAATATAAATAAATCTATGTAAAGGATCAAGTTTCATCAATGATACTCGTACGTTTACGAGTATAATATAAATCACTCAGAAAAACCACCATAATTTGAGCTCCCAAGAACTAGTGTAAATAACATCTGAACAACAATAATTTGCTGTAGTGATTTATAAGATAAATACCTAACAACCAACAATTTTCACATTTTGTAAAATGTCTTAATAGAATTTTTTTACAACAATTCTTTTGTTTTGTACATTTTATGACGCAAAAAAACGAGAACATTGTTCGGTGCTAATTAGCAAATTGACATCAGTGAATAATACGACTATTATAAATTACTATAATAATATTACAAATGCGAAAGTGACTACTACGTTTTAACGCTTAAACCGCTGAACCAATATTGATGGATTTTGGTATAGAGATAGATGGGACCCAGGAGAAAGACTAAGGCTCAATTTACATTGCGGCGGAATGAACGTGAATTTTTGTAACGATATTATACATAGCATAATGAACTATATGGTCAATTGTGTAACGTACAAACTAGATACGAGCCAAAATCTTCCACGGAATGCTCGCGCATTTGTCCCTAAAATAAATCTTAAGGCGGGTGAAATCGTGGATAAAATTTTGTATGGAGAACCAATAAAAGTATGAAAATTAGTATAGTACAGTAGGCTACTCGAAGTTCTCATTCTACGCTGACGTAGTCGCGGGCATTAGCTAGTTTAATATACATTGGTTAATTTTCTCTTTCCTGATAAATAATTTAATACAGCACCAATAATAACGATCCCTTGTATTAATTATTATGAACGCAAATTGTTCAAAATTAACGAAATTTTTATGATTAAAAATATAACTGGAAAGACTCAAAGTTAAGTTGTGCTCAGTATTGATACGATATAGTTTAAGATTGGTAAATCGTAATACAGTATTTTAACAAAGCGGAAGAAAGCATGTTGGTTGTTAAAAATCGATCAAAATTATTTACACATTATACAAACTATTATAACTGTGTACAAAATTGTGTTCCCACTGCTTACAGCTCCGGTTATTTGAATAGCGGAATCAAAGACATGATTGGTAATAAACTACTGATGAATTGATGTGATGAACATAAGGTTCGCAATGTACTTTATATAAGGCATAAAAAGTTTAATTTTTAGTGAAATTACATAAGTGTCCGTTTTTAAAGATAAATTTGGCTTTCAGTACATCGAATATGAAGCATTGTGTATTTTAATGTAATTTGTATTAGTGTACCTTATAAATTATTAGAGATACAAAGGCAACATAGCATAATTATAGCTTATTGTGCTAAAATATGAACTATTGTTCTGATTTTGTGAATCGACGCCTTACTTTCGCGAACACGTATCTTATAGAGTGATTATTCAGATGGCAAAAAATTTCTATTTATTTTAAATTTCTTTACAAGGATGTTAATTTGAATGCATTACTTTAAGAATAAGTAAAAGCCGTAGCAGTGTGTGAATATGAAGGAAATTTGATGTGAAATCATCCTGCAAATGTGTATATACAATGCATTTTTTGCATTTCAGTTACTTTGTTTTTTAAGATACGAGTTTGAGAAAGAAGGCGACGAAATATTGTAATAGAAGGTACAACTATTTATTTTGTGCCAGTTTCCGTTTGGGAGACTACGGACCCATTGATTATGCATACGAATTATTCGATTTTGTTGAAAAATAGGAAAAAAAAAACTCCATTTAGGTACATCTTAGAGAAAATTATACTTTATACACCCTTATGTAACAGCTAATATATGAAATTAGTATTTTTGTATATAATACAATTGTAAATTATAACGCTAGCTTTTTAACTACAACACTCCCATTATTATAAATTATATCCATCAAACAAGCCAACGATAACAAATATGTATTATCTCTTGTACTTCAGTTTGTTGCGATACATGCAAAACTTAACAATATTTTTTAACTTCACGCGATTAAAGAAAATGTATTCTTCAGTATGTAACATTTAGGTAAAATAAACATAAATATACGGCGCGGGTAGCACTGTGGGTTCGAACGGTCCCGTAGGACCAATGTAAGAAAAAATATATCATTAGTTGTTCCAAGTCTGGGTGCTCTGATACTCAAGCACAGGGGAATTCTGTTGTTTAAGACCAGGTTGATTAGGGCAAGCACATTATTAAGTATTTAACCCTTTCGTGGTCATATATACTTTTAAACTTTCGCGTTGCATTGTACTAACATTTGGAAAAGGGAGTAAACTCGTTTTCATACGAATAGGTATTTTTCACGCCTACCTACTTTCCCGAGGTTTCGGCCAGGTTGCACTGGCCGTGGCCACGGCCTGACTGAAAAATACCTATTCGGATGTAAACGCGTTTATTCCCGTTTCCAAATGTTTGTCTTTCGTGGCCAGTAACAGCATTTACCGTAAAAAATAAATGTTAGAATATGATAGTACGGGGGTGCCCTCTTTCGCTGTAGTATGGATCTCAAAAAACCAACTACAGGCTTTACAGTGAGATTTCCAAGTGCATTCTGTGTAGTTGTAGCCTACTGCTTTTCCATAGAGAAGTATCAATAACGTACTGACAAAATGTAATGAATTACATACATTGAACATTTTATATTGAATTAATATAAGCACTACAGTAAGAAAAGTACTGACATTTTGTGTGCGGTACTATTAGTACTCTCCATGAAAGGGTTAAAAAACTAAACAATATTATATTATGTAAACAAAACTGATTATGATTGTTATAATAAATACAACAAAAACTACTCCATTTAAAACACAAAATTGTGCTGTCGAATTTGTGCTAACTAATATAATTATAATGATTGCAAAATTATTAATAAATTTTAATTATGCTATGCAAGATATGTATTTTTATTTAACTATGCAAAGTCAGATGTACAAAAATGTAACTTAAAATATACCTTGAAACATTCCTTAATACTAAAGTTTTTAATCTATTAGCACAATTCATTTATAAGTAGTTAATATAGTCATACAAAATGTCTTGCACCTCAAATAATTTAAATTTCATTAATGAGTTTAAATTGAGACTAAGAAATGAGGGCTACCCTTATCACATACTCCAGAGGACTATAATCAATGGTGGCGGGCAAATGACGTCATCCATTTTGTCAGTGGTCAATAGTTTGTTTTCAATGTCCAATTAAACTTTACTACTTCCAGTAGCTTGTAGTTAAGATGGTCACAGGTAGTTTTAAGTTAAATGTAACTACATTAAATTTTGCGTATCGATGGAATACATCATACAGGGTTGCTATTTTATTGTGCTACACTCAAAGATATCCGCCAATTAATATAAACTTAAATCTGCAACCTAAATACATAAAATTGTCTTTCTTCTTGTTTGTTTAAATAAACCAACCTTATGGTGTAACAATTAATTTTACATAATTTATTGTAGCAGCCCATGCTGACATTTCAGGTGTTACAACACAAAGTTGAACTATGAACTACTAACTCCTGAAACACGTAATTTGGTATTACTAAACTCTGATTACAAGATTTCTACTTTGACATTATTGACTATAAGTACCTCTCTAGTGATCTTATCATATGGTAGCCTACATTGTAAAACAAAACTGAAAATGGTTAACATAACTGGTAACAAAACGATAATTTTAACACCAGATTTCCCAAAACAAATTTCATTTAACAATTCTTTACAAATACATTAAATCATTTCCTCTGTAAAGTTGTTTTTAAACAGTAACCAAGTACACAATCATACAGCAAAACATATATATAAATGTACAAATGGTACTCAAGAATGATTAATTATAGTAGTAGTATATATTATGCTTCAGCTATTTTAGATTTGCCGTTCAACTTCCCGAGTTGTCCAAGCATCAGTACAGTATTAATTAGATTCTCGGAGTAGATCCGTTGGTTTGTTTCCATTTTTCGCAATTTCTGTACAACATACTTAGAGAAAAATTCCAATTCGTTTTCATTGCCGAATCTGGTACTTGTGTCTTCATTGCTGCGTTTACGTTTGTTTCCTTTTGGACTGGTCTGTGTGGTTGAACTCTTAGATTTTCCCTTTGAGGAGTTAGCATTAGAATCATTAACAAAAGCAAGATTTAGATCTTCACCAAGGTCATTGGCCTCTTCCTCGTTCAGTTGTATGGTTAAATCATCAGGCACAGTTACCATAGGCACATGGTTATCGGAGAATAATGGAGAAGGTAAGAATGATACTCGCTTACGAACTTTTACAGAATTCTTGAGTTTTGTTGGAGGCAATTCTTTAGGTATACCAATTGTATGTCTTCTAGTGGTTTTTTCTTTAGTTTCATTGTTGTGTAGACGGTTTGATGATTGCTTTGTGCTCCAAAAGTTTACCTTAATTTTGGGTTTCGGTTTAGATTTTTTATCAACCGGTTTGGCCAATACTGTAGGGAACATGTATCGGACATTGTCATCATCGACAGGGAGTTTTTCTTCTTTTTTAACAGCTTTGACAGGTTTAGCAGTATCGTTGAAATAAGCCAAGTTTAATTTGTACCTTATGCTGTCATCTTCAGGTTGGTATCCATTCTTTTTCGAGGAATTCTTATCGGATGTTACAGGCTTCATGTTATGAGCTTGTAGTTAAAGAATTGATTCAACGTTCAGTTAAATTTGACCTTTATTAATTATGTACGATATCTGTTTGAACCTGAAAATAGAAAACAAAAGGTTTTTATTTATCATAAATTGCAGTCAAGCGATAAATATGGATTTTCCCGCCAAATTTCGCAAACATTTCTTACATATTTTATCAGCATTTTAACATAACAGATTCCTAATATTACTTATATCATACCAATAAGCTTACAAACTATCGAATAGAACCGTAACCCACACAAATTTACACACTGTTACGACAAAACACAAGATAAAACTGTTTTGAGGTTATGTGATAATTATAGTTTTAAATCATCGCTTCTACTAATGTTCTATAAATACATTACGCAGCACATAATTGCCATAATGCAGTTACTTAATTAACAAATAGAATAATTAAAACAAATGCGTGGTTTGCTATTCAAATGTGTCTCGTCATCATAAGTTCGTATCTTTCTAATACTGTTACATAATTAGTGGACTATGAGAATAATTAACTCACCTTTACATGCCTCAAATGATAATAATCCGAATAAAATCCAGTCACTTGTTCACAGAGAAAGAAAATAAATAAAATCACGAACACAAACAGCGCAAACACACGACTCCAAAACCTTCATGACGGACGCATCGTCTAGTGGTTCCAAATTTATCCGCAGTGGCGCTTCGCGCAGGAAAATGCCCGCCGCGTTCGGAGATTAATTTGACGTAAATAAAATTAAAATAAGTTTAAGAGAGTGTAAAATATTTTAAAACGTTTTTATTAAGTCGAGATTTTGTACACATTTCACACTTTACATATATATATTATTAGTAACTATATATAAAGATATATAGATATATAAACCTAAGAACTCGATATATATATAAAGACTAAAGTTTTATAAATATACATTAATTCGTATAATGTTACGATTACAAATGATGAATAAAATAGATAAAATTAATAAAAATAAGGTAATAAAAACTAGTAGAAAATATTTGCCATGAAACTTGTACGGAATTACATCCCTAATTAAATTTTAATGTTAATAAAACATGTTTTGACCAAAAAAGTTTTATCTTTTTTAGCTGTTCTACTTTTTTTATCACAAGCAATCTGCGTTCAAAAGATAACTTAATCGCGTTTTTAATCACATTAGTAAAAAAAATGATTATATAGAGTTATATTTTTTAAAGAAAATGCATAATTTGCTTATTGTGTCAAAAGTCACAGTTTAATTTAGCATTTCTCTAAATATTGTGCAAATGTGTGCAACATTACATTATTTTTATCTCTTATAACAGAAAACATGTAGATTTGCACGGATAAACTATCGATATCATTGTTTTCATTCATAATGTAACATATACCTACTCATTTCTTGTAACGCACCATTGAAGTTGCGTATAGATAGGTACTTACCATATGATTTTTCATAGAAATCCAGCCCATCCTGGCTCGGAACTTTATTTTACGTTTGCTTTCCGTGGTTATTGATGTGGTGTTAACTTAATACGGACTAAGATACGCGAGAATCGCTATGCAATGAATATTTTTGTTAACAAATCGAAATCAATCGAGATGAAACTTTAAGGTTATGTAGGTCCGCGAATGTTCTCTCAAACTGAGAGTGGGAGGCTGTGCGCATTGCGGCAAAGCTCACTTCATGACACTAAGTTTTGCCACGTCAACTATTCAATGATTATCTATAACTAAATAAGGTAATCATCAAAATGACTTTAAAATCACACGATTCATTATCATTAATATTTCTCTCATTAAAAATCATATTAGGTTGTCCAATCCCTGAAAATTTAGTATTGGCAGTAATTACTTCTGATGCTCCCGATTGCAAGAGTATTTTATTATGTATATACAGAATGTTTATTGGCAAATAGATAATATTTATCGAAATGTCCCGGGAAAATTAAAAATATTGATTACAGCCCGAGCTCATTCCGCATGTGCCTCAAGGCTAGAACATGCGCAATGGATCTTAGCAACCACTTTGTTTGTGACAACTGTCTACACTTACTACTTTGTTTTTAGTTACCTACGAGTGTTTTCTTTGTTTTGAAGTTGGAAACAACCCTTTTCATTCGCGGTCAGGCTTCTTCGAACGACGTTTTATACCTAAATTTTCATAAATTTTTGTATCTTTCTGCCACTTGAGTTCAATGTTTTACTTAAGTATATAGGTAAGTGAAAATATGAACTAGACACACTTACCTGAGCTCTCACTGCAGCTAGGTGTAACTGCGTAGCCCTGTAGTCGTATTTCTTAAGAGAAATCTCCTCCTAAACAACAAAATGAAATGTCCTGAATATTGTAAATAACAATAATCTATATTTTTTTCTTTATTTTCATTAACGGAAAATAAAAAAACCGTTTGTTACGGATACAAAATAAAATGTCATATAAATGTAATGTTATAAAATATTAATTTTAAGAAATTCGGTGACACCTGTTTGCTTTCTTGTTGGTATTAGTTTTTTGAAACAATAAACCTAAAATTATAAGTCTAAATTAGGTACTTTATTTGACATTTTATTATTTCTACTAATCCAATTAATACAAAGAATGTCTAACTACGCTCTTCGTTTGTTTTAAGTTTTTGTCAAAATAAAAAATAACGCCATACCTAGTGCGTCGAAAGTTTGCGGAAGTATTGAGACACCTTGCACGGGAAATTGGTTTATTAAACATTCAGGAACGTTTACGAGCGAACCATTTTGGAAGCACCCTGAACGAACGAATCTACCCCGTTTCGTTACACTTGTTCAGGTTTTGTGCTTTCGAGATAGATGGCAGCACGATGATAATTTTTTATACTGAAAGCATTTATATAAGGTGCTTATAATAATAATAAATTAGGTACGGATAATTTTAGAGTTGCCAGAAGGATCAATTTACAATAAAAATCAAATCAATATTTTTAAGCGATTTTTAAAATTTAGTTTTCGTACTAAACAAACGAATTAGTAATTATGTCCTAACATAGTCATGAACGAAATACCGTGACATTGACATTTTTTGTCGTTTTTACAGTAAGAATTGTATTGTTTTTAATAGGGTGTATTTGGTGATTAACGTGTTTTCATAAATTTATCGAAAAACTAATAGATCCTTCAAAGGGGTTATAGCGAGGTACCTACCTAGCTAATTTCTAATCATGCGTATGGATTTTTTTATTCCTTGAATTACATTCTCAACCCTAAATAGGCTTAAAGGTGTAGTCTGTGTTGCGTATACTATCCATTTTAATTTTTACTTACTTTATTCACTACATGAAATTATTCATTTACTTAAAACAAAATAAAGACTGATCACAATATGTTGGCATACAATTCACTTGCATACGCTGCGTTTGATTGAGAGGTAACAGGTGTAAGTTTCTTTTTTGAGACAATTAAGCTGAACCTACAGAATATACAATAGAGCAAGGTTGAACGGGGGTTGAACATAGACTTTTTTATTAGCACGGGTAACAAACTGAACGTGAAATTTTAATGAGGCCGTACCCCGGACGCTTTGTATATTGTGCAAATTATGCAATTTATACTTTGTAGGTACATAATTTTATTGGAAACCTTGTTTGTTATTAAATTGGGGAGAGCGTTTCGGTATTTTAAAGCACCAGCAGACTCAGCAAGAGCCCGAAAACAAAAGTTATCTCTCCTTCGAACTGTCAATTTTTGAGAAAATTGACAGTTCGAAGAAGAGATAACTTTTGTCATCGGGCCCATGCTAAGCAATCTATGCGGCAGCCGCATGGATAATAAGTGTCTAAGAATAGAAAATTAAATACTCTTTATGAACATAAAAAAAGAAAAACGATTCGATATTCGCTGAAAAATAAAATATAGGTACCTATATAAGCTTAGAAATAAATCTTTAGGAATAAATTGCAATAGTTATATGTAACATACATATATTTTTTTACGTATAATATATAAAATGTATAAGTTACACTTGCGTGTATCTTATTATTCCTCTCGTAAATTGTTAAACCTTGTAGTGCCTTTAACGGGCTCCATAATAATAAACACGTGTATAGTATTTAGTAAAACCTTTTAGAATATCCACTGAATAAAACGTGGTTATGTGAAATATTCCTTTTAATTAGCATTAGATAGAGCACAAAATTGTCTTTTAAAAACAGTTAAAATTAGTTAACCTGTTCGACTTATCGGAACTTACCATAACGATGCATAGCTGAAATATTATTTAAATAATTTCAATATTCTAATGCTGGGTTATGGTTTTTTAAGATATCTCAAAAAAATATTTTGTTACTTAGCCTCGCTTTGGGTAGCGAATGGCAGATTTATCGAGCTGTTACCACCGATTTAATGTAAGGGACAAAAAATAAACTTTACAGGAGTGCTTTTTTTAAATATTTCTATGTATGAATGTGATACTAAATTGAATTTTAATATTATTGTAATAATAAATTTCGTAACCGTTGTGTAACAGCTAAAAATTTTTTAATAACAATGGATGTTAAGCCTTTTGCTATCTCTGTCTAAAGATTTTTGAGGCTTTTAAAAAGGCGTGTAAAAAAGATACAACACGTGTTTTTCCACTTTGTTCATAGTAGACAACGAAATTATGATGCATGGTAGGAATACCATGTCGGTTGCGATAACAAGTTGGATCGCGTACTTTATGATTTTTGGTATCAATTTTGTAGGTTACACTAAAATATAAAAAACAGTGGAGCTAATGACAAACTTAGCTTTTGCTATAATTTCTATTTGATGTAATTTTGACGGAAAATGTCGACGCGTCCTTGTCCGTTATAGTTTAAAATATCATTTGCAATAAAAAACACTGCTTATGTACGAGTATGTAATGTCGCTTACGATAAATTGGCGGTCATGCCTCGATATGGTGCCATGAATAAACAAATGAATAATAATAATTATTATTAACGACGTTATACCTACCTTAATACAGCATACAAGATAGGTAATAAGTAAAATATTACAGGGTGCCTCACGGCTATGGGATATTTGATTTGGCGAGTTTATTTTTATGATGTCAACTAATCGACCTTTTCGGTCGGCATCTTAAAAATATGTTTTTCACCTCACTAGCTCGGAAAGGCTTTCTTTCTCATTAGAAATCTGCGCTCAAAAGCGTTTTTTCTTTGGTCTTTGAAATTCGAACTTTACGATGGACTGTGGTGCACAACACGTTCAAGTACGCGATTTATCGTACATTATTATGTAAAATAAATCCGTTGATATATGTGTCATGTATCCAGATTTGCACATAACACACATATCTAAAACGTCAGGTCAATGTACTTGCATTCGCGCACCTCGGAACGCGCGCCCCGTGCATTGCAACGTGACCGATGCAAAACTCGTCATTTTAATTATAATTATTAGACACTTTTCGGCCCAACGTTCCTAACATCGGACGTAGACTAAATTTCTTTAGTTAAGATCTTTTTCGTATAAGTACTTTTAGACCTAACGTACCTAACTTCGGACGTTCTTAAAATTATTTAGTTTAAGAAATACCTTTGTGGAAATTTAATGTAGTTATTCATTATATTTTCTCGTCTTTACTTCATCTCCACTGCGGCCACCCTATATAATTTATGTTATTCTTATTATTGTTGACATTAAATTGACAACGACAACTAATTTTCTTTATTAAAACTGTTTTTTGAAAACTGAGTTCAACTGTTTTTCTTTCATCTACCATTTTCCTCGCTATAGTGTGGTGAAAAGTTGTGTGTTTCGCTCGGCAGCAAAGTTGTTTTGCGTATCGTGTCTTGAAACTCTCGCTATGCTCAGAATTCTATTTTTGAATCTTTTATCTTAGAATCTTTCGCTTGCTCAGGTTTCAATATAAGCACTCGTGTCGAACAACAGTTTTGAAGCCTTGCATGACAAATAAAAATGTTTTTTAACATTTGGTCGGTTGGGCTCCCAGATGAGACAATCCACTTTTTAAAGATCTTTCAATGCAGTATTATTTACTTTTAAGAATAGAATAAATTGTTCACGAAGCGAAATATCCTATCTACGATATTTAAGGTAGGTACTTTCCTTTTGTGTGTCATAGCTGTATGTGTAACAAGTAGGTACACCTATAAACATTTATTTTGTAGAGATTGCCTTTAAGTATATACTGTTTGATAGTTAGGCAGGTAGTATTTTTTACGTTCTGGGGTAGTAGATACTTATTACTAATAAAATTACCTGTATCTCGTTAACTTTGTTCAAGAGATTGCTTTCGAGGCTCCGACTTTGGTGGCGGATCAACACATCCAGGCTATCCTGCAAAATTATTCTGTGTTAATAAGTATAGCTCACGAAGTATTATCAGAACGACTTGCTTGACGACTATCTTGTGTTTCAATAGGGTAAAAAATAAAAAAAACTTCGGTTTTTATAAAAATGTAAGCGTGTAGTTTAGTATATAATAAGCTTAGAATAATAACGCATAGAAACCTAGTCCGCACACGCTAAGTGAGGCAAATTGAAGCGCTCCCAATGGGCCTACACGAGCGGGCGGGCCTTCAGTGCTCAAGGTCAACTTGCACCGCGAACAGCTCAAGAATTTTAGCTAAAAATGACGAAATGTGCGGTAAATGAGTGTAAAAATACGTCAGACAAATATAAAATAGATACTAACATCACATTCCACAAGGAAGTAACACGTTTCAACTTGTATTTTTATATAAATATTTACTAAAACCGAAAATTAACCTACTACTAAAACTAGCCTACATGAATTTGATTTTTGCCTCACTTGTGACAGTTCGTTTGATATGAAACTATCATTCTATGCGTTATTATTCTAAGATAATAAGACAAGTAATCTGCCGCCGTTAGTTGAAAGGCCGCTTGTGACTAAAACTCAAAACCGAAAAAAATGTTTAAAAAAATTAAATGAAAATAATATCTGCTGTTTCCAAACGAAAAAACATAGACACTTTCTGCAAACGCAATAAGATAAACCTATATTACACGCAAAATATGGAACTGAAATATTTTATTATTTTGCTTCATTATTTAAATATTACCATTTTTCATTTTGAAATTAGTAAAACATGTTCGTAAAATACTCAATATTAGGTAAGATGGACGCAAGGAATAATAAGATGAAAGGGCAGTATGTGGTTACAATATGTTTTCAGTGTCGTAGTTTGACATTGTCAAGATTTTTATTACTTAAAAGAAAGGTAACGTTTTCACTTTATTTTAAATTCATGTGAGAATTGTGAAACCGTCATCTGAGAAATTAACATTTTTCAGTAACTACATATATGTTGAGCTTTAACTGAGGAAGATTTGGAAAGTTAAATATGATTTGTATCTTTTTATTACACGTGTATTTAAAACGAAAGTATGATGTATATCGTCGGGGATAGTTCAAATACGCTTAAGTAGAATTGATAAAATGCGCGTATCTGCAGCAAACCAAATTTTACAGGAGAGGGATTTAATGTTATTTGGTACTTTGTTATTTCAATGGCTACAACTTTCTTTTTTGAAAGTAAGCATTAATTTATGTTGTCTACGGACTCTTACACGTTGCCACGACATTTACGCGGATCTGGTTTGGTCACTAAATTATAGTATATGCAATTACGCCTTTTTACCAATTTGTTTTGTAAATGCGTTTATTTAACTTAGTTTGACTATAAAAGTGTGGGTACTTACGCCCTTTTCTATTACGGTAACTTCATACCTAATCCACCTAGAAATAAATAAAAATAGTGGCAGAAAAGAAATTAAGGCTCTGTGAAAGCTATTTGACTCACTAAGGGAATTGAATTTTTATCTTACGGAAATAAGATGTCACTTTGCAGGGATCCGTAGATAAAGTTACTTTAATGTAACATCACTGTTGGACATAACCTCCCCTTGAAAACGTCAACTCACCCGATCTTGTTTAGCCCGCATCCAGCCGTTGCAGGCCACGTTTCTCAGGTTGTCTGTCCATCTTGCCGCAGGTCGACCTTACACTACGTTTTCCTAGACGTCGTCGCCATTCCTAAACATATTTGCTCCATCGGCGATAAAGTCGTCGACTAACTAAAGTCGTCTTTTTTTGCCGATCACGGCAGTATACATGTAACTCATTTTAAAAAAAAGTGTCATATGTTCCCTTTCAACTAACGGCGGCAGTAAAGTAACTCTAGGGCTTGCTCCCGGGAATTCCGGTTTTCAGAAATACCGGGAAATCTCGGTAGTGGCAAGGTACAATAAGTGTAACCTAACTTTTCATCTTGCATACTTAGACGTATCAACACTAACTGTGTACAGTGCGTGTAGGTAATACTGATAGCATTTTTTTACGACACCAAATAACGGGACCAACAAGTTGTGCGCCTGGTTGTAAGCGACACGCCTGTCTGTAGCAGTTGCAGTGCCACTTGGAGCTTAAAATCGAAAAGATCTGAGTAGCACTGGCACCACGCCCATCACCATGACACAAAAGTTGACAAATCCCATGTGCCTGTAATTTCACCAGCACCCTTACCCTTCACACCCGGAACGCAGTAACGCTTACATTACTGTTTGGCGGCAGAAATAGGTAAGGTTAAGAATGAGAATGAATAAGATAAAGGAGATCTACTTCTACTAAACCACTACGTGCGATTCTTTTGTTCCATTATTTTCCGTCGATTATGAGTAAATAATATTTCGCGAACTACACTTACCTATTACATTACAACAACAACAATAAATCAACAAATCACAATATCCATATTAACACTTTAAAATTGGTTTTCAAAAAATCGCATTGTAGGTACGATCAGTTCTACATCAAACTGAACAATTCGACCTTAATAAGCACACCATCACTTGAAAAGCAAGTTGTTATTTATCCTGCTGTAGAGTGTAAATTCTCACTCAAACTTCACTTTGTTTCTATACACACATGGGTTTCTTTTGTGAATTCCTACTTTGTTGTATACCACAAATAACAAACCTGCAATTGTTTAATCTGTATTTCAAGGTCCTGCGCATCTTTTCTCAGCTGATCGTAGCTGAGCCGCGCCTGCGCACTTCCCATACGGTCCAGCAACATTTCCCCTCGAAGCACTGGTGGCATGCTTTCCTATAACCAAAACATAGTTATTCAAACCATTACACCGCAGCGGCGAGATTAGCGTTGACTCGAGCACAAAAAAAATCATTCATACGGACCGAATTTTCGCTTGTATTTACAATCGTGAGCATGAGCAGCACGAGCTAAGTACCATTACATGGTCGAGCACACAAATGTCATATTAATAAAATTTGTCTAGAACTAAAATCATTGTTATCTTGATTTAAACTTTCATAATTTTCACACATTATTTGACTTTAAAATTGGCACTTAATCATGTAGGTACAAGTATATTTTATTTACGTAGACGTTTCGGACTGTGCGTCTATGGTCGCGAAGTGACTCGTTCGAGACCATGACCATTGCAACACTTCCAAAACGTCGGGGTAAATAAAATATGTTTAAATAAAGATTTTAAAATCAAAGAATCACTATTATCTTCCTGCTTTCATTGATTTTCCAATATAAAGTACCTACTGTATAAAACAGGTTACGATGGAAATAAATGGGCGACGTTAGTACTGTACCCAATCATATAAGATCATTGACTGTACCCGTTTGTACCATTACCGGCTTGACGTAAACGCTATGAAGAAAAAGTGTAATGACAATTTTTCTATAGTAGTAGGTAGGTAAACCTGAGTTTCATGTCAACCCTCCGTGTCATGTCATGCTTTGAGTAGTTCCATAATCAATAGAAAGATAAAGGTTTCTCTACACACGCGAGTTTTGTCGCTAATCCTACAGCACGAGTCACTCGTTATCAAACAAAGCAGAATCACGCCCAAAGCAGAATTACGCAGTGAATTTTCTAAAGTGTAATGGGTAAGCATTTAAACACAATCTCACTTAATGGGAAGTTACGGTGTGGTCGAAAGTGGAGCATGCTTACTCGGAAAGTACTTATTGACTCAAACGTTGGAAAAGGTCCAAATTATTTATTTAGGAACAGATCAGTAGGCACAGAATTCCACGCCCTAGCTTTCCCGTCAGCGAAATACTTCGTGCGTACTGATGGTACGTCAACAACATACACGTGAGATCCCAGCCCACGTATTGTTCCCTGAAGATGGAAACGAGATGAAGCATGAAGTTTTGCTAGTATTTGAAACGTCGTCGAAATTCAGATTATTTTTGTTTTGATTTGTGTCTTATGCATTGTTGTTATTGAATGTATTTGATTTGTTTATTATTGTTATTTCGAATGTGTCTTGTCTCTCTCATGGTTTAAAATTTAAATTTTATAATAGGAGAGGTGTCCCACGTCAATGGCATAGTCAGCCAGGGTCTGGGACTACCACAGACCACATAAATGGGACTACTAACGATATGTCAGCGCTGGAATCGCCACGCAACAGACTACAACAGTCGTTTTGTTAGCGAAACTGGATGGAATTAACCCATCAAACAAAATAATAGATTAATTCAGTGGAGGCTACATCCGGTGATCTTGTGCGCTTGATCGAGATACTTCCGATGTTTTCGGATGTGGCTTTTACGAGACCCTCATCATGTGAGGTGGCAACTGCCATAAGAAATACTTTCGACTGCGGCGGATCTAATATCACTGTCAGGGTTATTAGCAAGAATATAATTTTTATTACTATTATTGTAAGTATTTTAATTGTCATTTTTTATTAGATTTATGTTTTTTGTTAAGTTTTTAACCATTACGGACTATGGAAGATTATTATCAAGGACTGCATGCACGAAATCGATGTCCATAACTGTTTCCATACACTGGACATAATAAATCGGTCACAAAAAAATTCACCAACCGTGTTTTTGGTTTACCACTACGAAAATTAAGACCTCAACCTTTTGCCGTTACTGAAAAAATGAAGTTGTTCCACAAATAAAAGAAATCATACATCCTCTTAAGTATGGCAAATCTTTTCTTTCATTCACACACACAGACACGCACACGCACACGCACACGCGCACGCGCACGCGCACGCACACGCACACGCACACGCACACGCGCACGCGCACGCGCACGCACACACACACACACACACACACACACACACACACACACACAGAGAGAGAGAGACACACACACACACGCGCGCGCGCACACACTCACACTCTCTCACACACTAAAATTATCAATACATTAAAATTAATTTAAGTATACTTATTTGTAATCAAAGCATAAGGAGGTTTATAAATTTTAATGTAAACATTTCTTTTTAAAACCCCTTGAACCTATTTATTACAAGTTTATACATAGTGCAAGGACCGCGAGAAATCATTGGTAGATAAGAGTTATGTAACATAGTTAATATGGTGTAAATGCAAATTAATGTAATCCGATTTGGTCAATAAAGCTTATTATTATTATTATTATTATTCTAGTTCTCATACTATTGTTGACACCGATAGCAGGCATCGTGTAGTTGAAATCTCGATTGCAAACAGTTGAAGCCGTAGCCTTCTGTAGCTAAGTCATAAACTCATTAGACAAGTTTGTTCTATTTTTATTACTATTTCCTTCGTTTCTATTGTATTGCATGCATTTAGGATGAATATGACCATAATAATATGTGACTCAATAAATGTGACTAATTGAAATTATCGATTAAAATTTTTTTTACTTGCTTCAATCGAAAATAAAATTTCAAAGATAAATAAATGACTTCTAGTGTTACGTGCGATTCGCCATTTTGAAAATTTCGACTAGTAGTGGCTACTGAACAAACATTTACGATGGTAATTTATTAAACTTATCTAAAATAATACTTGTGTTTTGGATAGTTGGTATTTATTCTATGTTTGAAATACATAATTATGAACCGAATGGTGACGAACGGCGAATTGACTTGCTTTAGTTAGACGAGTAATTGTCAACAAGTTTATTTCAATGATAAGAATGTCTTTCAAGTGTAGCAAATAGTTTTTGACGATGAAACAATGATCTTATGTCTTTTTAATCGTATTCTTCATTGATGAAGGTTGTGTCCTCAAAAGATTTTCGAAACTTTATGGACGATTTTCTTCATCTGGTTCTGCTTACAGCTTCTCTCAGGGCATTTGCCATAGGGAGGCCCACCATAACCAGTTTGTTAAGGTTGTCGGCGAGCAATATGATCAATGAATCGTTTTAATACTGTTGACATAAATATTGGAAACATTTTACTAGAAGATTGGTGTTTCAAATTTCCGTGAAATGTGAAGTGCCCATATCGTTCTCGGCAATCTTTACAATATTCATTGCAATGTGTATATTAAAAAGCGTCATGGATAAAACGCCTTAATGCAATAACGCTCAAATAAGGTATATAATATAAAATATTGGAAATTTACGTTAAGGCTATAAGATAAAATTTACGTTTAATGGATTCGAAAATGCTCATCCGAACAGGTAATCGCTTTTGATACTCCATTAGCGCTCGGGATAATTTTGTTTTTAACGGCTCTATCGACACATTGAAGTGGTTTTTTTTATAGTTTTGTGCTCTGATGTGTATATTTCGTTTTTATCCTGAAGACTTCGTGAATAAATACTTGTATCGCTTTCAGATATTGATTAAAACCAGCCTGTTATCAAAGAATAGTGACATTGGACGACCTTACGTTATGTTCGGACCAATCAAACGACGATGGCAAGATACGGTTCTATCAAGAGCCGTCGCTGTATCGGTGTCAGCTGAGCTTGAAGTGCGTAATCTAACAAAATGACTATCAAAAATACTGTATTCAGTGTGTTTTTGAATTGGGACAGTTATCAGAATCTGAAAGTATAGGAGATACAGGGAGACTGTCCTAGGAACCATTAAGTCTTTTTTTGTGGAAAAGTTTTTATTCATGGAAAATTAATAACATTTTATTTAACTTGACCAGTTTCTGGTATCCCGATTTTTTTTCTTTTAATACAATGAAATGATCCTTACCTACATAAAACCGAGTCGATCAGTACTAAATAAAGAATCAATTTTATGTATTTTTATGGACACCTCACGCTTGACCAAAAAGTTTACTTTCCAAAATTGTTGTCGCGATAAACATTTAATAGTTCCTGAGACCGGTTATCTGTATCTCCTATAGTTGTGTATTTCCCCATATTGTTCAAGGCAAAAACAACACTAATAATTAGGGATCGGAATAGGTAGAGTTTTTTTACTTAAACTTCGAGGAACATAGACAGAAAATGGAAACTGCCTTACGACAATATTTTTTAGGTCCTGGACCTAGGGGTTCGGGAAATCACTTAAGTACATTAAAAATTGACGTAATTGGGGACAGGCAGGTACACTATATTTATCTTAACTTTGCGACATAGTGGGTGGGATCAGCGATATAACGGACTTTGGATTTTTTTCTATCGTGAAAATCCTCTCTTAAAAAATGCAAAACGAGAGATCCTATCGTCCTAATTAAATATTGTCATACGTGTGGCGCACTATAAATTTCCGGAATGAATAAGAAAAAAATACTACAAATAATCAGAAATGAATTGATTGTTTCTTAAAATATTCTCCGTTAGCGTTAATGCACTTTTTTATACGAATGAACCAATTTTGAAAACATTTATGCCACTCCTCCGTCACAATCTCTGAAACATATTTTTCATACTCTTCGATAGCCTCTTCAGGTGATGAAAATCGTAGACCTACACGGTCACGGAAAGAAGGATGGCGACATCCCGTGTGTTTTGTGACCCAGTGTTTTTGACGATGTGCGTTAAGGAGACCTATCAATACTTGTGATTCATTATCAAAGCATCAAAAAAGCTAATTGAGTACAGCCTGTAGAAGCTGGGATTATAAAGTTGATATAGGTTATGTTTATAACAATATCCTGTATTTCGTTTCAGATATTTGTAGCAGAAAATAACAAGTTTTCAGTTTTGTTCCCAAAAATAATAAAAAACTTACCGAATATTCCCAAATCTGCCAAATTCTGCCACATTTAATATAACTTATCATATTCTGCAGCAATGAAAATAAATAAAAATTAACTCTGCCCAAATGGCAGAAATCTGCCATAAATGGTCACACTGTTCTCAA